GGCTGCAAGGAGACAGTGAGTGGGAGACAGCATCAGACTGCAGCACGGAGGGGCCGCAGCAGCAGCAGCATGGAGGAGACACCCCTTCTTCCTCGCGCTCCGCACCCGCAGCACCCGCAGCAGCAGCAGCAGCAGCAGCAGCAGCAGCAGCAGCAGCAGATATAGAAAGAGCTACGAGAGCCACCTGGTATGGGCGGGAGTCGGCGGACCCCTCAATCGCCCCCCCCGTCCCCCCCCCGTCTCCTTTGTCTCCTCCTCTTGCTGCTGCACTGTCTCCTCGGCAGCAGCAGCAGCAGCAGCAACTGCAGCAGCAGCAGCAGCAGCAGCAGCAGTTGAGCTCGCCGCTGCTGTCTCCTTTGTCGCTCACCACACACCTCGCGCCGACAGACAGCCCCACTGCTGCTGCTGCTGCTGCTGCTGCTGCAGGGCTTCTTAGCAGCAGCAGCAGCAGCAGCAGCAGCAGCAGCAGCACGCTGCCTGTGCTATCTCTCCCTGAGTCGGCGGCATCAACACCAAGCAGCAGCAGCAACAGGAACAGCAGCAGCAGCAGAAGGGGCAGCAGCAGCAGCAAGGAGCAGCAGCAAGACAACCCCCACATTGATATGCCGCCTCCGCCTTTCACCCCGCGGCGCCAGCTGCGTCGGCTGCAGCAGCAGCAGCAGCAGCAGCAGCAACAGCAGCAGCAGCAGCAGCAACGACAGCAGCAGCAGCAGCAGCAACAGCCAGGGGATTCGCCCCTAACGGACACTGAAGGAGGCGCTGCTGCAGCTGCTGCTGCTGCTGTTGCTGCTTGGTTGCTGCTATTGGTGCCGTTGCTGTCAGTGTATCTCTTTGTGTTTTTTACCGTTTCTGCTGCTGCTGCTACGCCTGCTGCTGCTGGCCCATCTGCTGCTGCTGCTGCTGCTGCTGCTGCTGCTGCTGTGTGTAGGGGTGAGGTTCTCGGTGCAGCAGCAGCAGCAGCAGCAGCAGCAGCAGACAGCAGCACTTTCGCAGCAAAGACAGAAGAAAAAAATACTCTATGGCTATCGAACATAGATGCTTCTGTCTCCGAGCAGCAGCTGCAGCAGATCATCAATTCTCTCACCAAGGGACTGACCCAGGTATGCTGCTGCTGCTGCTGCTGCTGCTGCTCCTGCTGCTGCTGCTGCTGCTGCTGGTGTTGTTGGTGCTGCTGCTGCTGGTGCTTCTGCTGGTGTTGTTGGGGGTGGTGGTGGTGGTGGTGCTGCTGCTGCTGCTGGGGTTGTTGGTGCTGTTGCTGCTGTTGCTGCTGTTGCTGCGGCAGCTGCAGCACATCATCAATACTCTCACGAATGTATCTCACGCTGCTGCTGCTGCTGCTGCTGCTATTGCTGCTGCTGCTGCTGCTGTTTAAGTTGATGCTGCTGCTGCTATCTGTTGCTAATATATATATATA